TGTTGAAGCTAAGTCTACCTTACATCAACACTTCAAGATGAAAGATATGGGAAAACTGAGATATTTTTTTAGGTATGGAAGTGATGGAATCCTGCTAAACCAAAGGAAATATGCACTACAACTCATTGCATACACACATCTTAGTGGTGTAAAACCAATCAGTACTCCTGTTGAATTCAATCATAAGTTTGCTTGTCTGACTTTTGATCAACACATAGGAAACAGTTCTGATCATGAGTTGGTTGATGTTACAATATATCATAAATTAATAGGGAAACTGATTTACCTAACAATAACAAGGCCAGACATAACATTTGAAGTTCAAATTCTAAGACAAGTCATGCAACATCCCAGGGTGTCACATTGGGATGCAACCCTTAGAATTGTGCGATATATCAAAAAGTCTCATGGCTTTGGTGTTTTTTTTAAAAAAGGGTGAAATTACAGACTTGATAGGGTATTGTGACTCATACTGAGCCTCTTTTCCCAAACACCAATAGATCTTTAACTAGTTATATGATAAAATTAAGGGGGGTCTTTGATTTATTCGAAGTCCAAAAAATAACAAACTGTAAGTAGAAGCTCTGTTGAAGCTGAGTATCGGAGCATGGCAACAGTGGTTTCATAATTGATTTGACTCTCAGGGTTATTGCAAGAGTTGAATGTGCCTATATCAGTCCCTATTAAACTATATTCCGATAGTAAGTCATCCATTCAGATTGCAAAAAATCCCATATTTCATGAGAGGACGAAGCATATCAAAATTGATTGTCACTTCATTAGGGGCAAAGTAAAGTCTGGATTTATAGATCCTCAATTTATATGTTCCAACATGCAGTTAGCTGATATATTGAGAAAGGAGCTTGGCACAGGACAACATGAGTTCTTATTGTCCAAGCTTGATGTGTTAGATGTGTTTCAACCACCAGCTTGAAGGGGAGTATTGAGATTCAATAGATAAAAAAGCAAGGAGTCACATATTAAGTCCTACTTACTATTAGTTAAATAAACCAACTGATTATTTGTTATGACATTTGTTAGGCAGAGCATATGTTGCACATGAGTTAGTTACAAAAGATAAGTCGGTGCACTTCATATATAATGAGTGCATTTGTAATGTAGAAGAACAACACAATACATAATATTCTGACCATTCAAAAGGAAATGTAATGAAGTTGGATTTTTCTTTCTAATGGTGCATCTAATTTCTGCATCTTGTATGTGAAGAATATAGCTTAGATTCTGCAATTTATCAAATGATTAGACATATTATATAGTGCATCTTCAACTTATGAGGACATAGATAAATGGGTGTAGAGATCACATATTAAAATAGAAAGTTAATTGTACATTGTCTCACTTTCCTAAAAGTTTCTTTTTCTTTGAATACTACGTACTATTTTTCTTATTATTTACTATCTCTTTAATTCTCTATATATATTTTCCTTTTTACTGGCTTTGATATGCATTACTTAAACCGTGAGTCTTTCTCTCTACCTTCACGAAGTAGAGATAAAATTTGCATGTACTCTACATTCTAAATCTCACCTATAATTAAGATCATGTTTGAGTATGTCATTATTGTTTTATATATACTGTTTAGTATAGAAATTTTCTAGAAAGGAAAAAAATGTCACACTACAAACTAGGGGAGGCGCAACGGGCACTCAGTACATTATTTGACCAAGCTAGCCACATAAACATTAATGAAAAAAAGGACAATGAGGGCTGACAAGGCCATTATAGTTAACTGCTAAAACAAGATAACTAGACCAGCGAGGTCACAACAATATCAACAACATAATAAAATGGCTGACAAGCCACTGATAAAGAACTAGCAAATTAATAAGGCTGGAATCGAACTCATATATATAATAAGCTGATAAGGATATGGATTAAAGCTGAGAAGACCCAACAAAGTATGTTCACTAGTCTCTGTAAATATTACAACAAATGGTTGAGAAAAGGTCCCTAATGATACCAACAATTATATACAAAATTCAACTGTGCAAAACCTATAGACAAGCAACAGCTTCACAAAGAATGAAGCTTATCAATTCTCAGCTGAGACATCACCCCCAATGCAAAGGTCGATCAAGACTTATGTGAACCTGCAACACGAAATGCAGCGTCCCAAGCAATGGAACACCAGTACAAATGAAAATTATTAGTATATAAGACGGAAAGTAAAATCATAAATAGATGCAATAAAAAAGGTAATAGAGATACTATCTGAAACTAAAACTTTGATAGCCTTCATGACTGACATATGACCTCATATTAATCAACTATGTATGGTATGCTCGAATAATTACATGTCGTGAATATGTATGTATAGATGCAAATGCATGAAATATCCAACAAAATGCTAGCAATGACGGTATGTTTCGATAGCTAACTAATATCATATTTTCCAACATGTGGTCATCTGTACAATATATATACTCTTTTGAGAAAATAGGTTTCCTTCCCTCCGATTATAGCTCGGAATGAATGCATAACATTTCATGATATGAATTCTTAATGCACATAATATGTCATAACAAGAACTTAGCCAATTTTGACTCTTCCATACTTTTATTCTCATAAACTTGTAATCACTTAATTTTGTATAACATGTAAAGTCTAATAAAACCTCATAGGCGTTAAGAATAAATATGAACACTTAATCCGACTCTAGAAAGGTAACTTAAACCTAAGGATATTCATAAAAATCTTAAAGTGCTTAAGGAATCTTCGTGAGTTCATTTAACTTTAATACGATCATATGGTATTATAAAATTCATAATAGACTCGAAATTTTTTACTCAGTTTAGAAAATTAATCACTTAGAATCTCAAAAGGAGACTGGCAGGCTTAACTTGATTCATAAAAAGACACCAATTTGATAATAGTATAACCCTTTTCATAAACATGGTTGCTTGACAAGTATATACCTAAAAGGAATGGAGTACAAGATTTAATATTCATATCATTTTTTAAATAATATTTTTGTAAAAGCTTTTGACAAAAAAAAAAAGACTTAACAACTCCCTTACGACATAATAAGTCTCCAATATTTTAGCTTAATCTAATTAGGACAATCGCTCGCTAATAGATAAAATTAATGAGAAACTTGACGGAAAATAATTTTAACTTTCAAACATATTTCCCAATGTTATAAGCTCAATAGTGATGCGATAAAGTCCGAAAGTAAGATCAGTTGTCATCCCAATGTCCTTCACAGAGTGTCTTTCTAGCCTAAGATAGCTCAAGGGTAAAGCTAGTAAAATATTTGCTTTAGGCCCCACAAAATTTTGAGGCCTCCAAAAAAGAAAATTAAAAGTGAATTTTATGATTTTAATTTGAGAAACTTTCACATATAGCAAACAAAAAAATCATATTTGTATGCTATAGCAAAGTTTGCATAATTGCGCTCCATAGCAAACATATATATGTATAATTCGCTATACATATATACAAAAAGAAGCAATTGTATAATTCGTTGGCTCCTCTTCAAAATTGTATAATTTCGCTGGCAGACCATTTATATAAATTGTTGTTAGTCTCTCGTTTGTATAAATCGTTGACAAACATAAATTATACATTATACAAGCATAAAACTGGGCAGGGGAATATTTTTATTGTATAATTATAAGTGTATAGGACGAATATATATGTATTTGCATGTGTATATACAATTTTCTCTCGCTTTATACAAACAGAAACATATAAATTGTTGTTAGTCTCTCGTTTGTATAAATCGTTGACAAACATAAATTATACATTATACAAGCATAAAACTGGGCAGGGGAATATTTTTATTGTATAATTATAAGTGTATAGGACGAATATATATGTATTTGCATGTGTATATACAATTTTCTCGCGCTTTATACAAACAGAAACACAATTTATACAATTCTGTTGTATAAAACGAGAAAGAGAGAAAGACAAAAGAGAACTGGGCAGGGGAATATTTTTATTGTATAATTATAAGTGTATAGGACGAATATATATGTATTTGCATGTGTATATACAATTTTCTCTCGCTTTATACAAACAGAAACGCAATTTATACACTTTTGTGTATAACGCGAGAGAGGCGAGCACAGAGAGAGTGAGCGAGAGAGGAGAGTGGCGAGCGAGAGTTTGAGGGAGAGAGGCGCTGACAAACAGTTTGCTATAGGACACAATTAAATCAAAGTGTGGTTATACCATTTAATTTGAATTAATAGTTTGCCATTATGTACAATTTTCCCTTTTAATTTCACTTGAAACAATATTGAACATTATAAAAATAAAGAAAAACTACTTAATATTTGTTATCAAGAATATTAATTTTAGAACTTAAATTAAACAACTGAAATCTTTATATTAATAAATAAAGTTTTTATATCAACATCCAACGCCATGAATTGCAAACAAATATCTAACCTCTTATTAACTAATACTAGTTCTTATTCTTATAAATAATAATATTATTATGTAAAATTATATGCTTCATATCTTTAAGAATATGTACTAAAAACAAGTGAATCAAAAAAATGGAATTCAAAATTAATAGTAGTATTTTTATGCGTGTTATATATTTAAGACCTCTTATTATAATTTGACTTTAGGCCACTAATTTTATTGAGATGCCCTTAATTTTAGCTATAAAATAATAAAATCAACTTATTCGATAACAAAATTCATTTTAACATTAGTATCAAAAGAACAAATATTTATATATATAGTTAGCTAGTAAATCTTTTATACAAGACAAACAATAACCATAAACACCTGAAATGGTACACAGTTGGAATCAATTACTGATATGTGCTTAGTTGCTTACATAATCTTTTAAGTTAACAATTTTATTTTCTTTTTTATCATGATTGTTGAATGAAATGTTTTGTACCAATATTTAACCATGATTGTTGAATGAAATGTTTTGTACCAATATTTAACCGTTGAAGTTGACAAAACATTACATTTATCGTATTTAACGACTTTGTATAAAAAATAAAATAAAAAAATAGCAACTTATACTAATATTTAGCATCGTTATTCCTTTTTCAATCTTTTTAAAATGTACAAACAGCAAACTAATATTCTAAAGCTATTAGATTTCGACCGGAAAGGTGAAACAGGCCGCCGCGACACACCTATGTCTACAAAGCCGGTAGGGACTCCGGCAGCAGTGACAACTCTAAAAAATTTGACGGATCTGCATAATCGAATAATCCGCCCACTGTGACAAAATCACCGTCATTTTCACTGCCGTAATTATCTCCGTCCATGATCCCGGCAAGCATCCCCAAGTCGAATGAGTCATATCTCAGTAATTCGTTTTCAAATCCAATCGTATTTTCCAATCTCGATTCGGAATCAATATGGTTTTCGGGGGAAAAGCTGGGCGGGAGGCCAAGCTCATCGTCCGAAGCTTCTAGAAGGTAGCCGAGATCCGATTGAGATTCGCCGGAATCTGACAACGTTAGGTCAATTAAGATATGAGGAGATGGCAGAGTTGAACGATGAAGGATCTCTTCTTCAAAACTCTTGATTACAGAGTCAAGGTCCTGATTTTCTGGTACACCATCGCCCACTGTTTCTGGCTCATCAAGTATATCCAGAATATCTTCTCTAATCTGCTTAGCCTCCGGCGAATCTACGTCTACGTCTGTATCATATTCATCAAAATCCGGCGAACTGACATGACCTTCCTGATTCGACTTGGACGAGTCATAAGAATTCACCTCTAATTCCAGTTCAACTCGGTTCAACTCAACCGAGCTCGAACCTGCAGTTGCCTCAATATGGACTCGCTTCGACTCGAACACTGAGTCCAAACCCGAATCCTCTCGGGTTCGCTTGTTACCGTTTGCTTTAAGTAGTATATACTCTTCCATTATGTATCTAATAGATCAAAAGATCTTATGAAGATGAACTAAGTTGAGGGATAAATATTATAAAGTGTAGAGAGTAAAAAGTTGAGATGCTTGATAGAGGAAATGAAGGAGTTTCAGAATTTATATAGTGGAGAGAAGTGAGTAGGAGGGATTATTTAGGTGATGATATTTTAAGAAGAAATGATGGGCGGGAAATTAGGAGGAGATATGAGGTGGACGTTCAACTTGAATGCTTCCCTATTCTTACATCTACAATGACGTTTTCAATTGTCTCTCTCCATACCTTTTTTTTCTCGATTGGATGCCGTTTAAAGACGTGTCGTGGGTCTGTTGTCAAATCTCTTGGATTATAGTGGTTCACAATAGCTCGGTCATTGATATTTCCCCTTGATATTTTATTATGGGCGGGCGAATGGATTGTCATTTGTCAAACAAAACAAGGGCCGGTCCCTTAATAATTTAGGTGTCGTTTGATTTTATTATATACTATTAAAAAAAATCAGGATGATTAGTACTATTTATGTTTGATGATATTTTAGTTGATATATAGAATTCGCACATGAAAAAGAAATAAAACTCAATTTTAACTTCAACTTCAATAATGGAAAAGTTGGTCATATTAGGTAAAGAATCAAATTTTTATCTCGTAATATAGATATAAATATTTAAAAAGTAAAATAATTATTTACATTATTAATAGCTACATTACTTCAACTAACAACTAAATAACTCATTCAACGGTTTTATACATTTAAAAGAAGTTTAATGATTTTAATAATAAAACTATTTGTTTACATCATCTATATATCTCGTAAATATCTTTTAAGTGTCACTTTTTTTTATTAAAAAAAACTAACATGTTACATAGTATATTTATTTAAGTCATAAAAGTCAAATGATATTTTGGTCGTATCTTTAGTTTAAGCACGTAATATTTTACAAAAACATTTTTAAAATTTTGTGTATATTTAAATTAAAACCAATTTAATTTGTCAAAGTATGGCCCGACTCTCAAACGGTGTGATGTGATGAAACAACTGAGCCGTATCGTGGGCGGCATGGCATTCTAGAAATTTAATACTAGTATTTGTTAGAAAAAAGGAGGAGATGTTAAAGGATGAGTGGAATTGGGTCAGCATTTGCGCCCATGCACGGCGCCACGTCTATGCACATATCACCACGTGGCGGAGCCTACACGATAGCCGCCGCCCATAGAACTGCTCCGCTCGTACCTTTTTAATCTTCTTCTTTGAAAATTGAAACGGGCGTTGCTTTTTATACGTTTTCAACCTTTCTATCGTGTCAAAAGCTAATAGAACTTTGTTAGATTTAGGTCCGTTTGGTAGAGAGAGTAATTTAGAAGAAATAATATACGGACTACGGGGTACTATATATCTATTTTTTATTTTTAGTTGTTCTTAATTATTTATCTATTTTAATAAATAAAAAATTATAAATATTTTTTATCTATTATATCCTCAATTAATTACTTTTAAAAAAATAGAACTTCTTGAAAATCTTAAGTTTTAAATTCATCCATTTCATAATTAATAGGGGTAAAATGATAAACTTACTATGTCAATAATTATTTTCTTAATAAGTGTGTCCAGGCGGACCCACGTGGTCTCCAGAGGGTTCACCCGAACCCCCTCGTCAAAAAATTACTCGATATATATAAAGTAAATTTTCTGTATTTCTGTAGATATATATATTTTGAACACCCTAAATAACAAAGAGAAGTTGATGGCAGTGACAAGTCCCCCAGAATTAAGTTGTGCGTCACTAGTTCGAATCTCAGTGAAAGCGTTTTATTTTTTTCTTTTTCAATTCTGTTTTTCATTTTTTTTTAGTGTTTTTTTTTTACTTTAAAAAACGTGCTAAAAGTGTGGTTTTAAACCCAACAAAATTCAAGGTTTCCATTTCTAAAGGCTTATTTACACGTTTATATTTTTATTTTTCGAACCCCCTAAACGAATATTTTGGATCCGCCACTAGGTGTGTCAACTCAAAAGTGGACAATTAATTACGGACAGTGGAGTATACATTAATTTGCATATTAGTATTACTATTAGTTACTATATATTTTATTGTGTTGAGAAGTATATTATTACTGGAAATGATATAGTGAAGCTAATGGCCTCGTGGTACCATATCATGTCGTGGCTCTACGCCTAACCCTCTGTCCTGACTTATTTGATGAGCAAGACAGCAAGTATTGATCTAGACTTTTTTTTTAAAACGTGTTTACTCTATGAAAAAACTTAGACCTCTTCTAAAAAATGTCCCAAGTATATAATTAAATAAATAAATATATATTCTCTATAAAAGACTATGAGATGATCACGGTTTAACAATTAAATATATTTGTGGATAGATAATTCCTTTTTTCCTTGGATGAATAGACAATTTCAACTTAAGGATTATGTGATTATATAAGTGATGAGTAATCTCATTTTACCCTTATAAGCTTATTTAATAATAAGTAGAGAAAATACAAAAAAAAAAAATCTGAACTTGGTCGGATAATTTGCTTTAGTACTTAAAGTACACGGGTATTTAAATAATCCCTTAAGATCTTTGAAGTGATTTTTTTTCCACTCTGAGACTATAACACAACTCTCACCCGCCACATCATAGTCACGTAAGTGCCACATCATAACCATGTAGGCACCATGTCATTAATCTTTATTTCTTTTTTGCTTATTCACTATTTTTTCTTAAACACTTTTTAAAATTAATTATATCAATTGATTAATTTATAAATGCATACCCCCACCCCCACCCTCTCTCTTTCTTCTTCTTTGTTGTTCACCATTATTCCAACCTTCAATATTTTCTTTTCTACTTCTTCACTATTCAACAATTTTTTAAGTCACTTTAAAGAAGAAATTCACATTATCTTCTTCGAACCCTCCCAACAAATTTACCCTCTTGGAGAATGGATTTTTTTGAAAGCCAATTTTTTCTTGACAACTCAAATAAGAAATGAAGATTGCATAAGAAAGTTGATCCAAAAAAATATAAATTTTATTAGAAGTGTTTGAATGATCTAGAAATCAAAATGGGTCGCTCAAAATTTAAGAAAGTTTACATTTGCCAAATCGATACAAATAATAGAGTGAAATCGACGTTAATAAAATGGCATTGCTATTGAATTTTACGAATTAGTAAAAGATTAGTGAAATGAAAATAGTGGATAGAGGTGGGGAAGAAGATGGAGGAAGAGATGTTTCAATGGAGAAAAATGTGTATTGAAGAAGACAACAAAATAAAAATAAAAAAAATTAAAGAAAATAAAAAGGGGACCCACTAATTTCATTTACCTCTTAATAAGAATTTTTTTTACATATTTTAAAGATTTAATATATATAAAAAAACCTATTTAAATAATTTGTTATATATTGGACAATAAAAAAAAGCCATGTGTAGGGCTTTAAAAATTCAATTTTTTTTTTCTTTTTTCACGCACTTTCAAGAGAGTGCACTCACTCTCTCTGCCACATCATTCCTTAGGGGGTGTTTTAATCACTTAAAAAATGTTAAGGGGATATATAAATACTTGTATAGTTTAAGTACTAAAGTAAGTTTTCGTGTCAAGTTCAGAGGAAATTTTATGTCTTTTCCCTAATAAGTAATACTTATATTAGATGAATAACAAAAAGGAAGAAAAAGAAGAAAGGCTTGTCTCATAATTTGAGAGGGTCAACACAACTCATTAGATATTGGATCTCCACCTTCCCAGTCACTCAGAGGCCTCCCTATTTGCTTCCCTCAGGGCCTCCGTCCTCTCGCTTTCATTCATTTTTATTGAATAAATTTATTGAGGAAGATAAACAATTATATAAACAATATTCATAATATATATTTAGTTATACACTATTTGATATAATATCAATACATTACATAACTATTTATACAATACAATATTTATTACATTACATATAAATGTAATTTTTACTTTTGTTTTTAGGGATCCCTTGTTTTTACCATTGGTTCAGTTACATAACGATGGAACTTGTGCCTAACTTAATCCCAAAAGATAGCTCATGAAGGGAGATTTGTCCAAGTCCATATAAGGAGATCAAATTTCCGTCCCTCTATCGATGTGAGACTTCGTAACACTCCCCGCACGGCCATACCTCGTGAACACTTCTAAACGGAAGCTGGACATCGATAAACAACAAATTGGAATGGACCTGACTCTAATACCATATGAAAATCAACATAATTAACTGCTAAACATCGAGCTCCTCCATTAATGGAGCCAAAGATCATATCAGAATGGAAGCTTCTAGAAGAGAAGAGTTGCATGGAAAAATATATTTCATTGAATGTGAATTAAAAAACTAAGAATCACAAATAAATCTATATATAGAGAGAGAGATACTCAAGCTAGCTAACAAACTAACAAATTGTAACTAACTCCTTCTAACTAACTCTTGTAACTAACTTAGCTGGATGACTTTTAGTCTCATCAACCTCCCTATATCTTACAATTTTTTTAATTTTAAGATATATATTAAACCATTTTTTCGGTATACATTTTAAAAATAAATAAACCCTTTGAGTTTTTGCTTAAAAGATTGGGTAATTAACTTACATAAACTTTACTAGTTTAGTATTTATTTACCTTATTTTCTTTACTTTTCATTATTACGAAATTTATTAGAAACTGGACTTTAGTCAGATACATGTATCTCAGATACATAAGATCAAAATTATGTTTAATTTATTCTAGATACATTGTGTTCAAGTTGATTCGCATGCATCTGACTCTCTCACTTGTCTCCCTCCTATCTCACTTGTTGCTCTCTTATTTTGCTCGCCTCAATCCCTATATTAGGTATTCCAAATATATATATCTAGTATAATTTGTATGCATCTAGAATACACAGACTACCTCACTCGCTTATCTCATTATTTTAATGTATCTAATAGCAAAAAAATTATATCTAAATTTATTTAACTTGAAATTATAATTATTAATTAGGAGGAAAACA